TTATGCATTTGCACACCCTGGCACCTAATTTCATGTCTTACATCTGGTAGCATGCGACGTACCTAATATATATGTAAGTTACACGGTAGAAATTCATATGACTCACATTCAACCTTTTACATGTGAGTCTTTTCATGTGTTCACAGAAACAGGTAAGCAAGTTGGCTATACCACAAGATGACCTTCTCAGTCTTCTCTGAAGAACATTTAAATTATTAGGGATCTTAGTAAAATGTGGATTCTGATTCTGTAGACCTGGGGAGTGGATGGGGCACAACATTCGCCTTTCTAATAGATCTCAGACTACCTGGGTGCTGATGCTAAAATTTCAATAGCAAGATAACCCTTTTTACTCATTTTTCCATCTCCACAGGCAAAGTGCAAAGATAATTAAAGGTTGCTCCATGCCAAAACTGTGTTCAGACATTAGGAAAATTAATGATAATGTTCTCAAAGAAATCCACCTGAACAATCAGACTGAGGTTTTCGATGAGTTTTTAGGTCAGCTGCAGGCGCTGTCTCTACTGGCAGTCAGTCATTCACTACAGTTGACTTCGAGTGTTTCACAGAATGATGAAAATCCAACTAGAGGTTTCTCTGCGTTCTCAGTGATAGTCCAATGAGGAGAGCATTAGAAAGTGACACTCCATTGGAAAACGGGGAAGAGGATCTGTAGGTAAATGCTGAGGATCCTGTATCTTCATAAGGTTTCTATGGTCCTCGGATGTCATTCCCAAAGCTTCAACATTCTGCTCTGCCAAAATGAGGGTCTCTCCTCCCTCAACATCAAGGGGCTTGCAGATATCTGCTTCAACTCTGCTTGTTGGACTTTATTTTGGTTTCTGGTTATTTTGGTTTTAGGGCCACAGAGCTCAGGTCTTACTCCTGACTCTGCACTCAGGTCTTAATCCTGGCATTCTTGGATCATATGGGGTGTCAGGGATCACACCCAGGTCAGCCAGGTGCAAGCCCTGCCTACTGTATTATTGCTCCAGCCCCATACTTGCTGGACTTTAGGTTGTCCTATCCCCTTCAGTAAGACACTGCATTAAGTAATGATGAAACAGCTAGATTACAAATAGTATGAGTTAAACCTCTTAAAAATCAGGAAGAAGGGCTGGAGAGATGGGTCAAAGGTTTGGGTGCTTCCTTCGCATGCAAGAGGTCACAGCTCAATCCCTGGCATCCTCTGTAGCCTGTGGTCCCCAAAACACTGCCAACAGTGATCCCAAGCAACACAATGGGAATAGCGCCTTTTCATCACCGCCATCAAAACAAAGAGACAATCAGGAAAAAAAAAAAAAAAATGAGACAATCCCTTCTCCCTATCCCTACCAAGGCCCTCCTCATGGCTACTGTTCAAAAATCAAAAGTTTCCCTGCAGCCTTTAACCAGTGATGGCATCTGCTGGAGCATTAAGTCAAGGGAGAAATATAAGGATTCAATTACAAGAACTTTCTTCTCCACAAATGTAGATTGAATACTTGGTTCAGTTACATGGTTGTCATCTATTTATCGTAAAACTCTAAAGACACGCTCAATCTCAAAGAAAATTTGAAAATCACAGAAAGCCCTGGTATCCTTAATAACTTATGATCTGTTCATAAACAGGCAAAACTTGTTCAAGTTATTACAGTGTTCTTTTGCCTGAGGCATAAACAACCACATGTACAATTCAGTTTAAATTTGTTTTGGTTGCACACTGTGGCATGTCAGTGATACAACTAGCATATAAGACATCAAAGGAAGTGGAGCATAGCGTAGCAAGCAGAGCCCAAATAACTAACCAAGGTTGGGAGTGGAGATTTTCTAGGATCTTAATTTGATTTAAATTAATAAGGGGCTGGAACTACAGCACAGAGGGTCGGGTGTTTGCCTTGCACGAGGCTGACCCGGGTTCAATTCCTCCATCCCTCTCGGAGAGCCTGGCAAGCTTCCAAGAGTATCCCGCCCACACACAGAGCCTGGCAAGCTCCCTGTGACGTATTCGATATGCCAAACAAAGTAACGACAAGTCTCGCAATGGAGACGTTACTGGTGCCCGCTCAAACAAATGGATGAACAACGGGAGCACAGTGCTACAGTGCTATAGTGCAGATATATTAATGAATGAATAAATTAAAGATATATATGAAAGATGTGTCGCTGACTGCAAGGAAGTATTTCTCAGGTAAGAGCTTGGAGAAAAAAGAAGATTTATCATTAGAACACTTCATTCCTTGATAGAGCTAAATAACAAACCACAGAGTAAACAACACTAAAATCACGAGACCCAAACTTTAATAACCAAACTTAAAAGGTGCCAGTCAAGATGGCAGGCTGGGGCTGGGGTGCAGGGGTAGGAAACAGAGTCTGGGAAAGCTGGTGGAGGAAAGCTGACACTGGTGGCAGGATCCGGGAGAGAACACTGTCACTGTCACTGTTTGTAACTCATAACGCTTTAATAAAATAAAATTTGAAGAAAAAAGGAAATAATTTAGCTATCTGAGTTATTTTTTAGTTGCTATTTTTTTTCAAATCCAGAGCAGAGACAATGTGAAAAAAATCAAAATGATGTGTCCCCCCCACCAAAAATTGTGTGTGTGTGTGTGTGTGTGTGTGTGTGTGTGTGTGTACCTGTCAAAGAAGCTGTTCCAGGCTAGGGAAAGTTGGGCAAAGACATTTCATTCTAAGTAAATCCTTTTTTTTTTAAATTTTAATTAGTGAAACACCATGAGGTACAGTTGTAGACTTACAAATTTTTGTGCTTGGGTTTCAGTTATACAATGATCGAGTACCCATCCCGCCACCAGTACCCAATTTCCACCACCACTAATCCCAGTATCCTTCCCACCCCCCATCCCCCCAATCCCACCCTGCCTCTGTGGCAGGGCATTCCCTTTTGTTCTCTCTCCTTTTGGGTTCTGTGGATTGCAGAAGAGGCATTGAGTGGCAATCATGTTCGTTCTATAGTCTTAAGTAAATCCTTTTAAAAGTTGAAGGTTTAGTCTTGAATAAATAATAATAATGCATGGTCACGGTCCTCCCGTTGTTCATCGATTTGCTCGAGCGGGCCCAGTAACGTCTCCATAATGAGACTCGTTGTTACTGTGTTTGGCATATCGAATACATCACAGGGAGCTTACCAGGCTCTGCCGTGCGGGCGAGATACTCTCGGTAGCTTGCCGGGCTCTCCGAGAGGGGCGGAGGAATCGAACTCGGGTTGGCCATGCTGGCTCCGTGCAAGGCAAATACCCTACTGCTGTGCTAAGGCGATCTGGCTGTGACATCTGTCACCCCATTGATCGCCAGGGTTGATTCGGCTGATCTGGCTGGCTAGGCGGGTGTCCCCTTCCTCCCTCACCGCTCCATGTGCGTCCCTCCCGAAGCTGTGCACTCGGTTGAAGAGGATGGCCTTCCCCGATAGAGACAGACCGGTCTTTGGTCGAGGGTATACAAGTAGCTGCGCTCCCCTGCTAGAACCTCCAAACAATATAATAATAATGCAAGAATAAATTTACTTCACTAATGTAATCATGGGCTGGAGCGATAGCACAGCGGTAGGGTGTTCGCCTTACAAGCGGCCAACATGGCCCACCCGAGTTCGATTCCTCCGCCCCTCTCAGAGAGCCCGGCAAGCTACCAGCAAGCTACCGAGAGTATCACGCCCTCACGGCAGAGCCTGGCAAGCTACTCGTGACGCATTTGATATGCCAAAACACAGTAACAAGTCTCATGATGGAGACGTTACTGGGCCCGCTCGAGAAAATCAATGAGCAACGGGAGGACCGTGACAATGTAATCATAGGACCAAATTTTGAATTGTCTAAAGAAAAAGTCAAAGAAAAAGTTGGAAAAATGACTGAAACTGCTATACTCAGGTGATTATATGCCGCAGTCATTCTACCATTCATCTTACTAGAAACTAAGACTATTTAGTCAATTTCAGAAATACTTTCTTATTTTACAATCTATGAGCTCTAAAAAATCTAAATGAGATCTAAGAGTTATATGGAATCTTCGACTATCATAATAATAATCCCATGCCTCAGACATCTCCCCTGCTCAAAAGGAAAATACTGAAAAGGCAATCTGAGAAGAAAGAGTTGGAGAACCATGTTTGTTCTCCTATTTTAAATTTCTTGTTAAAAAATAAATAAATTTCTCCCCCCCCACTTTTTTTTGGTGAATGGGGGAGAGGAGTGTCTGAGCTCAGTGCGCAGGAGACTGTAGACCAAACCTAAGCCCTACTGCCTGCAAAGCATGTGACCAACCCTTTCAACTCTCTCCCCTACAGTAAAAAACTATACACGCTGAAGGTTGTGTGTTCACGGGCTCTCTGGAGGGCTCTATCTCACCGCCCGTGTTCGGTGCCCGAGAGCCACTGTGTGTGGCCTGCATCTGGACGGCTGTTGGCCAAGGGCAGATGAAGGAAGAGACGAGGGCCAGGCCGGTTGATCTTTGTAGCAGTTTATTACAAGGATGTTTATCCCATAGAAGAAATTTATGTTATGGAGGGCCTAGGTTCTCTCAAGCACATGTTCTCCTTGCTAGTCTCTCTGTGGCCCATCTTTCAGCCCTGCTCTTTCATTCTCCCGCCCCCTTCTAGTCTGGGCTGACACTCCACCCAGTCCCGTAGCCAAATCAACATAAGAAAGCCCTTCAAGGGCAAGATACCTCTTAAGGTGTTTTTCTCTTTTCCTCAGTCCAATAAACTATCAACTATTCCTGAGGTTATGCAGGAAGGACAGAACAGTGTTATCCTACACCCTACCTCAATCCTATTTTCTAATTTGGGGAGGGGGGGTGGAGTGGGTATGGAGAAGGCAGTGTTTGGGTCACGACCAAATGTATTAGGGCTTACTCTCAGTTCTACAATCCCAGATCACTCCTGACAGGGCTTGGGGTAACCCATATGCAGTACGCGGACTGAACCTGAGTCAGGTGTGTGCAAGGCAAGTGTCTTGCCCCTGTACTATTTCCCTGGCCCTGTGTTTTAAGATAGAAATCCAGATACTTACAAGGCATTGCATGGCATATGCTTGGCCAATATTGTCCACTGTCTCTCTTTAACCATACACGGACTGTCCTGCAATAGAAGAAAAGCTGTGTGTTAAATCAATGTCGTTTTTGTGTCACAGAAAAATGTCCAGTAGTAGAAATCAAACCTCTCAGTTATATGTATGTTTATACTTAACATAGTGAAATTATACATACACATATCTATACACAGTGACATAACATGCATTTCTCTAAAAATCCTATTGCTTATATTTAAGACTTATGTACAGTTAGAATTACACAAGACTCCTTAAAAATTCTCTCATGTCGGGGCTGGAGAGATAGCACAGCAAGTAGGGTGTTTGCCTTGCACGCGGTCAACCCGGGTTCGATTCCCAGCATCCCATATGGTCCCCTGAGCACCATCAGGAGTAACTCCTGAGTGCAGAGCCAGGAGTAACCCCTGTGCATCGCCAGGTGTGACCCAAAAAGCAACAACAAAAAAAATTCTTTCATGTCATACAAATATGTGTAATTGTGATAGTGTTTGAAAATGATTATTTTTGTTGATGATTTATGCCTTTCTAAGCATATGACACTTGTCCTAATCTGCCTGGAAAGCTATTAGGTTTTACTATGATCATTCCAAACCCTTAAATTGCATTCAAGTTTCTCTCCAACTAATCATTGGGTCATTTGGGAATGAAATGAAAGAGTACGAGTGAGACTAAACTACACATACAACAGAGAAAGAAGTAAATGCAATGAATGAAGTAAGTAAAATGAAGTAAAAATACAGTGTCTGGGGCTGGAGAGATAGCACCGCGGGTAGGGTTTTTGCCTTGCACGCAGCCGACCCGGGTTCGATTCCCAGCATCCCATATGGTCTCCTGAGCACCACCAGGAGTAACTCCTGAGTGCAGAGCCAGGAATAACCCCTGTGCAATGCCAGGTGTTACGCAAAAAGCAAAAAAAAAAAAAAAAAAAAAAAATACAGTGTCTGGCACAAACAGAAGAACTACAGAGTAAATCCATACTCTTAGCAAGTCAGGCCACTACCTGTAAGAAGGATGAGCCAAGCAACATTCCTGGGAATCCTGCAGCAAAGGCTATGGATGAAGTAACGGGCAGAGACAGGACAGGCAGAGACAGGACAGACAGAAGGAGGAGCTGAGTGAGGAGGTGAAGAGAGCACCAGATAGCGAGTACTCCAGATTCTGATGACCCAAGAAGACTTTTACAACAGTGATAACAGGGCACAAGCGGGCATGCAAACATACAGAAGTAAAGGGACATTGTCCCAGAGACAAAAGGCAGTACCATGGATCAAATCAAGGAAAAATAGAAGCTCCCCACCATTACAGATCATCCCAAACCCTTACACCATCCCAAGAAAGAAGAATAGACCATGACTGAGCATGTGGGGGGTGAGGCATGGAGTTGTGGGCCACTCCTGATGGAGCTCAAGAGATCATTTACGCGCCAAGCACGCAAAGCATATGCTGCAGCTTTGAACACGCTCTCTCGGACCCCAAGACGAAGTCGTTTTCCATCTCTGAGAAGCGAGCACCACCCAGAGACCAAGTGATCACACCAGTCTAAATTTTAAATTGCATTCAAGTCTCTCCCAACTCATCAGTGGGTCACTCAGGAATGAAATGATACAGCAGGCGCCAGACTAGACTAGCTACTAATATGACAGAGAAATATCACTTTCCTTGTCATCCCAGGACACTCTGTAGTAAAATGCCATGACACCACTACACAAACATGCAAAATCTCATTCCTGGAACCACACATCTTCCACCTGCCTCTTCCTCTCCCCGGGGCTTACAGCACCAGGTAGGCACCGTCACTGTGAGAAGAGGTCAGAGCAGCAAAGCGTGTCTCAGAAACAGTCTAGGAAATCCCTGGTGAGCTTAGCCGGCAGCTGAAATCTCCTGCAGCTGAAGCATCTCATGTCATCTCCTGTGGTTCGATTCCCAGCATCCCATAGGGTCCCCCAACCACTGCCATGAGTAATTCAGAACAAGAAGTAATCCCTGAGCAATGCCAGGTGTGGTCGCCCAAAAAAGTGGGAAGGGAAAGGCCAGGAGCCAATTCAGCAGCTACAGCACCTGCCTTGCAAACATGAGGCTGTAGGTGTTGACTCCTGGGTGCTGCTATGCAATCCTAGCAGGACACTGCACAAAGTCGGAGATCACCAGCAATGACTCACTGAGCACTGCTTGAAAGGCCCCAAATAAATAGCACACCCATGTATCACTGAAATGGTGTGTGTTACATTTACTCTATCTGTACCTAACAAAATCCAAGGCCATGTAGGAAGTTCAAGCTGCGGAGGGAAGGATAACTCTTATTTCCTTTGTGGCATTGATCACGACCTATCAGCTGAACTGTCACTGTCACTGTCCTCCCATTGTTCATCGAATTGCTCAAGCGGGCCCAGTAACATTGTGAGACTCGTTGTTACTGTGTTGGGCACATCGAATATGTCACGAGTAGCTTGCCAGGTTTTGCTGTGTGGGCGAGATACTCTCGGTAGCTTGCCGGGCTCTCTGAGAGGGGCGGAGGAATCGAACTCGGGTGGGCGCCGCGTGCAAGGCAAACGCCCTACCCGCTGTGCTATCGCTCCAGCCCGTCAGCTGACCTACCTACTTATAAATGTGTTTACAATCTGAATCTCCCACTACAAAATAAGCTTCATGAGGATAAAGGACATTCTGGCCCTGCTCACTGCCACCCAGGGCCTGGGGGCATGCAGGGCCCCTGGCAAACACAGGATAAATTGTGTTGGGTGAATGAAGGAGCTGTTAATGGAATGTGGCAGAGACGGCCAGTTGCCGACACTCGATTCATTCTCCTTGTCGACCCTAGCAGCTTTGCTGACCTGAGAAAGATGGAGAAAGCACAAACACGGCAACAAAGAGACGATTACGCCACTCAAGATGCTCCAGTGTTCCTTCCCTTACAGACACCACCGTAAGCAAGTAAGGAGTCTGTCAGGCTTTGGAAGGGATGGTCTGGCCAAGCAAAATCTCAAATGCCGCCTCCAGCAATTTTGCAGGGTAGTTAAGTCTGATCACTGCTCTCCTAGAGACTGGTAGGGGGAGGAAGAGCCGCAGTCTGAACCCCCTTTAACTTCAGAGGGGCGCTGCCCAAAAGCTGAAGAAGAAGGAAGGCAGGAGAATGGCAAGTCTCCGTTTCAGATGACTAAATTTAAAATAACTAGAGAAGGGAGAAAGCTGGCACAGGATCTGAGGAGCACGCCTGGCTGAGGCCAGCATGGCATGGTTCCCTGAGCACTGTGAGGTGCAACCCCGGAGACCACCCCCTCTTCCCAGCACAACAGGGCGGCCAGAGGAATTCTAGGCACTGCAGGGCCTGAGCAGCGCCACATCCAAGGGCTCTCCTACTGGACCGCCAGCTCTACAAACCGGAAACCATCCTTTGGAAACAAAAATCTAAGGCCCAGAGAGCTTAAGTGATGTACCTAAACAGGAGGATGTAGTTATTTGAGAACCTGGGCTCTTCACAAATATGCTTCCTTCTTACGTGTATTAAAGACAATGACAGGGGCTGGAGCAATAGCAAAGCGGGTAGAGTGTTTGCCTTGCACGTGGCCAACCTGGGTTCGATTCCCAGCATCCCATATGGTCCCCCAAGCACCGCCAGGAATAATTCCTGAGTGCAAAGCCAGGAGTAACCCCTGAGCAACACCAGGTGTGACCCAAAAAAGCAAAAATAAATAAATAAAATAAAATAAAGACAATGACAAAATTTACAATAGCACAGAAACATTACATAAAAATAAATAGTATATCATTACTGTTAGTTTTGATAAAAATAAATATGATCAGTTTGAAAAAAGAAAACGGTACTACATCCTGGAATTCTAAAGTATTCTGAAGGCTGGAGATACGCAGAGGTGCTGAGGTGCACGCCTTGCTCACAACCAAGCCCAGTTCAATCACCAGCACCACCTACTGTCCCCTGAGCAATGCCTGATGCGATCCCTGAACACAGACAGAGCCAGAAAGCAATCCTGGGCCCTCTGGGTAAGCTCTCCAAACAACACTAAAAGTATAATCTGGGTAACTAGAAATTTCATAAGCAAATGTAAATTTGAGAAGCAGGGAGCTAGCTGAAGGGCTGGTGCACAGGCAGCGAACGCAGTGAGTGCAGGAGACCCGAGTCAGTGCCTGACACCTCAACCCCATTACCAAGCCAAGAGTTGCCCCTGTGCACTGTGCAGTATGGCCAGAAAACCATAAATAGATAAATATGAATGGCACTAAGCAAAGATTATAACTAATTTATTTTCCTGAAAACTGCATTTTTAAAACAAAACAAAGTGATAGGACAGTGGTTACAGCATTTGCCTTGCAATGCGGCTGAGCCGGGTTTGGTCCCTGGCACTCCATATGGCCCCAAAGCTCAGGCGGGAGTGATCTCTGATACTGGCGAGATGGGGTTGAGATCTGAGGTGGGGAAAACTATACATACAGAATTTAATCATGGCTGATTGCAAAGTTGGGTGCTATGAATAGTTTTGTCAATTTCAGTACCTCAATAAAAAAAAAATTCACAGTTAAATCCAAACCTTTCCCTTGGAGAAAAAAGAAAATTGGGGAGGAAAATAAAAAAGCTGTGGTTAAGAGTCTAAGTGAAGCCAGCAGAGGTCAGTGTCCTGGGAGAGAGAGACAGGGTCACTGGTCAGGGCCGCACACAGCCCAGCAAGCTCAGAGACCACACACCTTCACCACCCACCTGGCCAGATCCCTCCTGCTCCCCCCAGGCTCACAGCACCAGGCAGGCACAGTCACTGCAAGAAGCTGGAGCAGCAAAGCGTGTCCAGGGACAGTCAAGGAAGTCCCCAGCGGATGCTGGACTCTGCTGAAGCTGAGACATCGCCTGTCGGACAGAGCAGACTATAACCTCAACAGGAAAGAAAAAAAATTCTTTTAAATGTTCGTTCTTACACCTTAAAGCTAAACAGAGGGGGCTGGAGCGATAGCACAGCGGGTAGGGCATTCGCTTTGCACGTCGCCGACCCGGTTTTGATTTCCAAACATCCCATATGGTCCC